CAAATCTCCACTTGGAACTCACAACTCTAAATAAACTTTAAAAAAAAATGAAGGTCTCTGATATAGCATGAGTTCCAAGTGTATAATTAAGTGCAAAAAATCAAGATGCAAAATAAAGTAGGGTAGATTTTTTTGTGTAAAAAAAAAAGGGAAAATATCATACTCAGTGATCTAACACAGACACAAAGAACAGTGTACCATATGTTCTCACTCATAAGCGGATCTTGAGCAATTATCATAATACTATAAGAAATGGATCAGCAGTAGTGGGAAACTGCTAGGAGAGGGGGGTGGGATTGGCAGTTGAGGGAAACTGCCAGGGAAGAGAGGAGCACACCTTATCAACAAGGATACCTGCATAATGAACATTTGTATACCTAACCCTGAATTGTACTCCACATCTTTAAAATAAAACAAAATAAATAAAGGAAAAATAAGAGTATATATTTTCAAGAGTATATAACTAAAAAGAAGCCAGGCGCAGTGGCTCACGGCTGTCATCCCAGCACTTTGGGGAGGTTGAGGCAAGAGGATTACCTGAGCCCAGGGGTTCAAGACCAGCCTGAGCAACTGGCGAGACCTCGTCTCTACAATAAATAAAAAAATTAGACATGTATAGTGACGCATGTCTGTAGTCCTTGCTACTTGGAAAGCTGAGGTGGAAAGATTGCCTGATCCTAGCACGCAGAGACTGCGGTGGCCATCAGCGCCATTGTGTTCCAGCCTGGGTAATAGTGAAACTCTGACTCAAAAAAACAAAAACAAAAAAACCCAGAAAGGATGTGAAGCTGATGAAATCAATAACCTACAGGGGTGGTAGGTAGAAAGTCTACAGATGGAACAGGATTCCTCTGGGGACATCTTTTCCTGTTGTTTTGACTTTTGAACCATGTTGATGTTTTACATATTAAAAAATAAGGTAAAATCAACAGGAATGGAAGACACACTAAACTAGATACAGACAGACATGTGTCACTCCACGTCAAATAGAAGATTGATTACATGGAAAGAGCAAAATATGCATAGAGAGTTCAAGTGACTTTGAACACATTATTTTGATAGCACACCCTCAGTGGACATATTCTAAGGACAAAAGATGGCAAGGAAACCGTGAGTGTCATTCATTGGTGGTGTTAGCGTCATAGAAATTTCAGTACTGTGTTGTGTGTGTTGCAGGATTCAGCAAATGAATAAAGTCACTGATGTGTTTGTCACCCAGATTTGCAGGGCGGGAGACAATACAAACATGGAATGGGGGAGGAGATGAGAAAGACCGATTCCCCCAACAATGAAAGGATCTGTATAAATTCATTGTATGTTTAAAAGTAAACTATATTCTTAGTTTAGTCACTAAAACTGCCAAGATGATATCACTCCAGCAGCAGGCACCATGGTCTCCAATAACATCCCTACCAACCGCAACCTTGAAGAAACAGCTAATTCCAGGTTTGGGACAGGGGAAATACGAGGCCTGGGATGTCTCGCACCAAGTTAAAAAGTGCGTAGAATGGATGGAGACACTGGAGTCCCCTTGAAGGCGCTGTCACCCACCAAATCTGTAATAATTTGGGCATCAAAATGAAAAACAGCAGGTTTGGATGATAATACACTGATTAATAAGAGCTCCTACATGCATTTCACATGAAAAACAAAACATAAGAGGAGCAGGAGAGCTTGAGGGGGGAGAGAAGGGGTCTCTTTTCTATGGGGACAATGAACGCAGCAGGAGGAACAGGAAGGACAGAAATAGAAGGTGCCCTTTGCAATCACCATGGCGATAACTCAGGCAGGAAGCATTCATGGATGCTAGAGCCACAGGGAGGAGGGGCGGGCACACGGCCTCTCAGCATGGCACTGCAGGTAGCTTGCACCACAAGGGATGGTCCGTCTGCCAGGGAAGATCGGGCAGACAGCCCCTCTGCCAGCTGATCCCCTGCAACACTGCCATGAGGGGTTTCCAGCACACCTGGCTCCCGCATGGCCTGTCCGGGAAAGAGCCCTGTTGCATCTCCACTGGAGTATCACCTGACTCTAGCAGTACAGAAACCGTTTGGTCAAATCCAAACACAACCAGCAGGCATTCTTCAACGACACAAAAGGAGGGAGCAAAGAGAAAAGCTAAGGAACCCTCCTGGGTTAGGAGAGAGCCAGGAGACGACAAACACAAGCATTGTGGTCTCTGATAAATCTAAGCGGCAAAGACCGAACAAAATAACCCAAGCCAGTTGATTTAATTCACCACATCAGGAGATTAAAAGAGTAAGTCACACGTCATCTCAGTAAGTGCAGAAAGAGCATTAGATGAATTTCAGCATCCACTCGTCATCTTAAAAAAGCTCCTTAGCAAATTAGAAACAAAATAGGACTTCCTTAATTTTGTGGGAGTGTCTGCAAACAAAGGCTTTAGCAACACCACGCTTACTGATGAGAGATAAACGTTTTCCCTTTGAACTTGGGAATAAGATAAGAATGACTCCAACCATCACTTCCATGAAAAATCGTAGTGCAGATCCCAGTCAGCACAGGGAGGTAAGAAGAAGAAATGAAAGGCATGCAGGTTGACAAGGAGGTAACAAAACTGTCCTGGGCAGGATTGTATATACACAAAGTCCCAGGGAATACACACATAAGTTATTAAGATTTATGAAGTTGAGTTGGGTTCAAAATCAACACAAAAATCCAATTTACTTCGACTTTTACTTCTAAAGTTAGAATTTTAAAAGTTCTAAAGTTAATAGCAAACATTTTCTAAATAAAATTTTTAAAATCCACTTGTCAAACAGCAAAAATAATACATACCTAGGAATACATTTTAACAAAATATGTGCAAGACCGTAACAGAGAAACTTTTGAGAGGCATTAAAGAAGAGCTAAATGTGTCATGACTTGTAAGACTTGATTGTAAGGATGTCCATTTTCCCCAACTTGATTCATAGAATGAAAAGCCATCTCTGTCAACATCTCAACAGATTTTCTTTGGTGGAAGTGGGAAAACTGATAGCAACATTTACATGAAATTCAAAGCCAAAACACTTCTAAAGAAAAAGGCTAGACACAGTGGCTCACGCCTGTAATCCCAGCACTTTGGGAGGCTGAGGTGGGAGGATTGTTTGAGCCCAAGAGCTTGAAGACCAGCCTGGGCAACATAGTGAGACCTCATCTCTACCGAAAAAAAATGTTTTTAAATTAGCTGGGTGTGGTGGCCTATTAGGGTTATAGTTTCAGCTACTCAGGAGGCTAACACAGGAGGCTTGAAGCTGTGGTGAGCTGTGATCATGTCACTGCACTCCAGCCTGGGTGATAGAATGAGACTCATACTCAAAAAAATATTTTATAATATATTAATATTACAATAATATATATTAAAATATTTTTATATATGGGGAATAGATAGGAGATGGTGCCAACCCATAATGACAATGGCACTCTGGCCTGCAACCTGCAGCCACACCATGGCCCCATGGCTGCCAACCCAAAATGGGCAGGACTGGTTGGCGATAGCCTCTGCTTGGCAATGGCCTCTTCTCTGTTGTCCCCTGCGTCCAACTCAGGACCAACTGGAGAAAGTCAAATACGCTCCCAAACGAGCCGCATCAGAGGCCTTGCTTCAGCTGGCCTTGGGCACCCCCGTACCAACAGCCCCAGCCAGAGCACACCCAAAGCCCCCCTTTATCCACTATAAAGCTGCCCACTCCCTGCCCGCCTTGATTCGGGGCAGAAGGCAAGCCACGGTTTGCAGTGGCATCACACTCTGCTAAGTCACCTCTGGTGGTTCTCATTCAGGTGGTTGTGTTTCTTTCCAAAAAATTAAGAATTTTGCTCATCATGCTTGGAAGGCTGTGGGGGCGGGGAAGGGTCACTTACACCCAGAATTGGGAGGCTGCTGTGACCCATGATCATACCACCACACTCCAGCCTGGGTGACAGAGCAAGACCCATGTCTTGAAAATCATTTTGCTCACCAAAAGCCTAGGTCGAGAGAGTGGAAAGATAAGCTTCAGGTTGTGAGGGGTCTGCCCAACACATAACCACTGAGGAGCTGGTACCCAGCTCTGGGCGAACAACTGAAAATCAGTGGGGAGAGGACAGACCTGTGGGGGCATGGGGGAGGCTGGGACAGGCCCAAAAAAGAGGACTTCAGATGATCAATAACCACAAAGAAACCCCCCGGCCTCATCAGTGACCGAGAACACACAGTCGCCTTGTGCGGTATGCCCGGCTGGCATCACCTTCACTCCAGCTGTCTCCACCCTGCTTCCCCAAGGCTCTTGGGATAGGGGCTCAGACTCCAGACAGGCCCGAGCCTCTTGTCCCAAGCTCCTTTCCCTCAGAGGCTCTGGGCACATGCCTTGGAGGCCCAGGCCTCTCATCTGGAGAGGCTGCAAGGTCAGCTTCAAGGCCCTTTTCAGCTTAAGAGAGTCTGCCACCTGGATGCAGGGAGCGCCAGGGTGAGGGGCAGTGGGGGGAACGCAGCGTCGGTGTCAGGACGCCCACTCAGGTCAGTCGAGGTTCACCAGTCTCCAGTAGAACAGAGCTCCCATGGACTATCCTTTGGAACTGCCTCCCTCAGTCTTTTCAGCAATAACAAAACAAAGCCAAGCTCACAAGCAGTAATAATAATGACCACATTGCTCAGCAGTCATCACAGTTCTTCATTCAGGGGGAGCAAGACCAAGGCCCAGGGAGGCAGAGCGTGCCCAAGGCCACACGGCACCAAGAACGGGTACCCAGGCCTCTGCAGCATTGCCTGAATGTGCTCCCACCTTGCAGCTGCCTTCTGGGCGTCTCCAAACCCTGCTCACCTCTGCGCACACGATCTTGGAGCCTGAACACACAGCCGCTGGGCATCCTGCAGCCTGTGCAGCAGGGGCGGCCACCTCCATGCACTCGAGCCAGGCCTGTGGCGCTTCAGCCCTCGAAAGTCCGCATCCCTCCCCGGTCCCTGCCCCAGTCCCTGCCCCAGTGAGAGGGGCCGCCCGTGGGGCCAGACGTGCACTTACCCAGGAGCAGCAGCAGCCCCAGGAGGAGGGTGGCTGGCCCCATGCCGGGTGCAGGTGTCCGGACCTGGGAAGGACGCGTCGGCAGATGGATGGGGTGTTGCTTCCTCCTGCTTTTATGCGCCTGTATCCTGCGAGGGCGCCTGTCATAAATTTTACTGTTTTCACCTTTGAGAGGGGGCAGTGGCGGGGCTGTAAATGATAAATATTAACATTTAGGACAAAGAGTTCTTGAGGCAGATGAGTCCACGGAGGGTGGCATGTGCCAGTCACAGACACTAGTATACCAGGACCCACAGTCACCCTCATGGGATGGTGGGCACTCTTCCTTAATGGTGGGCATCCTTTCATGATGGCAGACACCCTTCCCCAATGCTGTGCACTCTTCCTCAATGGTGGGCACCCTTCCACAATGATGGGCACTCTTTCACAATGGTGGGTACCCCTCCATAGCAGTGGGCACCCTTTCACAATGGTGGGTACCCTTTTTTGATGGTGGGTAACCTTCCTCAATGGTGAGCACTCTTTCACACACTGGTAGGCATCCTTCTTTAATGGTGGGCACCCTTCCTTGATGGTGGGCACCCTTCCACAGCAGTGGGCACCCAGAAACTGCTAGCGTCAGGGGCTGATCTGTTGGGAATCTCAAGTGCTGGCTGGAATTCCAAAACTGCCACCACTGTGAGAACCCGGGTGTGGCCCTGAACTTGGCTCAGGTTTCTCTGCTGTAAGCCAGGAGACCAAGCACACAGGAAGTAAAAGTACTTGGTGGCAACTGTAAACTGTAAAGCCACCTCCAATGTGACGTGTTCCTGCCACGTCTCAGGAGAGCCACTGGGCTCCCTGGCTTGCAGGACACAGGGGTCTGTTTCTGCTTCTCCAGCTCCAAGCCCACGGTTGGCAGGAGGGCTGGGCCATGTGCATGCCACGTGGTTACTGTCTGCATGTTGAATTGAAGGCACAAGTCTGGGAGGTGAGCCGTGGAACTGAGTTGGACAGAACCAGCAGTTTTCTTTGGGCAAACACAGTTGGGAGTGCTGGACCAGGTCTTCACCGGGCATACTGGGCCAGGATTTAAACCCTGAGTAACAAAACACCTTTGAGGTATAACAAAACACCCCACCATTGTGAAAGAACTTCAAGTTTTTTCCACAGATATCAAAGAACAACGTCGTTGGTTAGCATGAGCAAATATACCTAAAGCCCCCTGCCTTCTGGTACCTGCCGTGGTGGGGCTGCAAGCCTGACCACGTGATCTAGTTGAGCCCCAGGGCGGGCTCCATTCCCAGCCTCAGAGCCTGACCTCCTGCAGCCCTTGGCTCTGCCCCCATATCTGTGGAATCGGTCATAGCTCTGTCATCTTGAGCTGAAAGCAAAGACAAGTGGGGCCCTTCGTTCCTGGAGCCCTGGTCTTCCTGGAATTCCTGGAAGCTAGGGAACTAGGGCTGGGGATGACCCCTGCTTGGCCACACCCAAAGCTTGGCCTCAGTCTCAGGACCGCAGGGGTGCTGGCCATGCCGGAGGTGTGCAGGATGGGCATATCCATCATGGCCAGCCCCAGAGCCTGGAAAAGGACAGCACACAGAGAAGGAAGAAGGCAGCACATCCAGGGTAGAGGTCTGCAGGGGCGGCCGGGCAGATGCCCCAAGCACCTGCACACTTGCCTTCACTAAACTGCCCACGAGTTCGCCAGAGCTAGAGCTGAGGCCCTCCTAAGGATGCTAGACGTTCCAGCACATCCCACCCCCCGCCCCCCGTGGCTCTGGGTAGTGTTGCTGAACTTGCTTGCACAGACTTGCCACGGTCCTGCGTGTACCTAGGCAGCTGGTGGTGGGCAGGAAGGTGGGATATGGACATGGTGGAGAGAGCTTGGCTTACACCAGGTACTGGCTCCCTCACACCCCTCCATGACCACTGGGTTCCATGCTGAATGCTTGCACATTCAGAAAGTGAGAAAGGCCTCGAGAACAATTTTAACCTCATGAGGTCTTTCGGTGTGGACAGACGGGACGTCCTTCTAGACCGAGGAAAATCCATGCATCAAGGAGTCCTCAACTGTGAGCCATGGGAGTGGTTTCCCGGGCAGTCTCACTAGACACCCACTCGTGAGTCCCTCCCTCAAGGGGCCCCACAGCAGTGGCAAGAACAAGGGGACAATGTCGTCTAAAGTCAGAGGTGGGCTCCATCAGCGTCATGAACTTTGTCCTGTGACTTGTGCCATGAGTTATCCTAGGGAGGAAAGAGGCTCCTCTCCAACCCCAGTAGCCCTGGGCAATCATTCCCTTGTGAGTTCTCTTTTAGGGTCAGGGGGCATGCCCTGCTCAAGCCTTCTTGGCGTCTGGAGAAGCTGAGCATTTACAGTTGTCCAAGGACCCACAAGAGGGTGCTAGACCAGGCCTCAGGCCCAGCCTGGGCCTGATGGAACATGGCAACATATCTTTCAAATGGGGGGTTACAACCCATTGTTATCTCACTAATTTATTTTGGCGAATGATCAGCCCATTCCAAAAAATGGAGTGAATATACCAGAGGGTTCTGCATGCAGCAGGTGAGCGATACCTTGGGAAGACGGGTGGCAGCTGCATGTGATGGACAGAGACGTGTTTCCTTATGGGGGTCACAGTCAGAAAGCCGGAAAGCCACTAGCTCAGAGAACAGCAGGACCACAGAGAAATCTCAGACCAGGAGGAAAGAAAGCAGAGGTCTGTTCTTTCGGGTTGAAGATGTAGCTAGACCCAGGACCTTGTGACAGGAGCTGGGAGCCTGTGAATGGCTCTAGGCCTTGGGAGGAGGAAGAGGGGAGTGCAAGTCCAGCTTTTTTTTTTTTGAGATGAAGTGTTGCTCTGTTGCCCAGGTTGGAGTGCGGTGGCACGATCATGGTTTACTGAAACCTCGACCTCCTTGGCTCAGGCGATCCTTTTGCCTCAGTCTCCCAAGTAGCTGGGACTACAGGCATGCACCATCACACCCAGCTAATTTTTAAAATTATTTTATAGAGACAGAATCTTACTATGTTGCCCAGGCTGGTCTCGAACTCCTGGGCTCAAGTGATCCTCCCACCTCAACCTCCCAAGTAGCTGGGACTACAAGCTTCACATCAAACTTTTTAGTGATTGTGAACAAAGAGTAAATCATGTGTCCTCTTCTTCCAACAAGGAGAAGCTAGTCCCTGGCACCTGAGTGGGTCCTGACTATATCATGAGACGTGCTTACAAGTAGCCACGGACACTCACGGGAAGAGGGGGGCACCCGCAAGAGCCATGGGAGGTGGAACCAAGTCCTGGGTGGCTCAGGTCACCTGACGGATGGCAGCAAGGCCCTGGGAATGTCCAACTCGTTCTCAGCAGTCCTGGAATCCCACTGGCCTCCCCACAATGACCTCAGTTGCTCACACACAGGTCTGTGCTCCCCACAGGCTTCCTGAGGAACAGCCAGTCCTTTCTTCCTGCCATCTTGGTGCCCTGAAATCCCTCCCCTGGGGCACCCCTCCAGTGCCCCCCACACACCAGGCCCTCAGCAGACTTTCACTGACTGATACTCCCCATCCAAGCCTGAGCCTCCATCCCTCCATCACAGAAGCATCAGGGGGCGTGGACAAGGCCCCTGGACCGTGTGTGTTCTCAGATGCCAGTGCCCCAAAAGTTTCTGACAAGACCTGGGCCCCGCGTGCAAGACACGGTCCCACGCAAGCCCTGAACTGATTTGGCTTCCCATGGGCAGAAGCTCCGCTTATCATCCAGATGGTAAAGACGAGAGGGGTTTGATCAAGAAGTGCAAAAGCAAGAGAGAAAATGAAGACGGGAGCAGGAGTGCATTTCTAGAAAAAATACAGTTTTCAAACATTGCAGCCTGATTTAAAAAGGAGAGAGGTTGGCAGGGAAAGGCCCAGCAGAATGTACGGCTTGGGAGAGCAGAACTGGCATGGCCTGCCCTCAGGTTGTCCTAGCAACCAGCACGGTACCTGTCACCCAGGTGATCATGGCACGGTGGGTGAAAAACAGTGGATGAAATTAGAGGAAGAAGAGAGGCCAGGACCCCACAAAAGATTAGTTCAAGGGACAGAAGAGAGAGGGGATGCAGGGCTGAGAAGAGGGGGCTCGCCACCAGACCATTGCAGGGGCAGACCCTGGGAAGGGCTGTGAGTTTCCCAGGCCATGGCTCTACCTGGGTCACACCGCTGTCCTCTTACACATGGCTTTTCCAGCTGCATGCTAGAACTGCCTGGGAGCTATGATGGGCATGCCTGTGCCCGGATGTCACCCCAGAGGCGCTGACCTAACTGGTCTGGCGGGACTTGGCCCTGGTTTTTGTGAAGTCCATCAACAGATTCTGGTGTTCCACTGGACCCAGAGGTCTCGGGACTCGGCGTCCAGCACTGAGGGCCACACACGGCTCTACCTCTGCTGTCATGGACAAGCCAGAGGCTCACAGGACAGGGCATGATGCCAGGACAGGTATCAACAGCTGGCAGACAGGGCTAACCGGCAGCCCCTCCGGAGAGGAGGCCAGGGGGAGCACACTGGCTGCAGTGCTGTGACTCAGCTCTCTGAGGTTGGTGGCAGCTGGGAAAGGGCAGAGCTCATATCCTGGAGAAGGCCAGCCATCGGGCACCAGGACGCGGGGACTAACGCCCCAGGCCTGCCAAAACACCCAGGACTGCCTGGGCCACCTCCTCCCCCTCATGCCTTGGTCTCCTGGGCCGACAGACAGCAACGTGAGCTCTGGTCTCCGACACACATAGTGAGGAATGGGCTCATGGAGGGTGGGGGGGGGTCGCCCATGTCACTGGGACTCCTCTTCCTGCACAGACTGAGTGCAGGGAGGGCACCCGTGGGCTGACCACCATTGTGGATGGGGGGTGCAAGACTCCCACAGCACAGTCCCGATACCCTCCAGGCACACGCCCACTCCACCTTCGGGTCCTTTCTTCCCTCCTTCCCCTCCCCATCCGCAGGCTCCAAGGTCCCAGGACCCTGCCAGCACGTCCTGGTCCAGGAACCAGCGAGCATTGCGCCCTCCCAGCACGCAGACGACGGCAGCTCTGTG